GTAGCTCAGGTAGATATCGGGCTATCGCAAAGCCGTAGTGTCCTGGTTCGCGTCCTGTCTTCGGTCCGACTTTTTTTCTTTTTTTTTTCAAGTTCCCTTCTTTTGTGTAAAAATTTATTATTTCGAGCCCTTTTTAAGTATTTTTTTAAATACGAAAATTTAAATTAAACTAATTGCATCCATGATTTTTTTATTCAAATAACCAGTTCATTTTCTTCTATTATGTCAATAAGATCAAAAATATTATTCATGTCTCATCAGTATGTAATTTGTATCTAAATATAATTTACAAAACACTACTAACTTTTTAAATCACTTATGAAGAAGGAAAAAACAAGTCTAGTAAATAACTACGTGAAGTAACAATTCCCACTAAACTCTTATTATTATCTCTTATTTTATTTCTCCTGATCCTTAGTTGGTTTAAAAGCAAAAAAGGGACTTCGGTAATTTCCAAGACATGGTTTCCTCGTGATGTTTTCCGCTTTACCGCTAAGACACGTAAATCAACTCCTAAATAGCAATTTCGTACTATGAAATTTAAAAGCGAGTGCTTATCTCCTTATTATTTATAAATCTTTTTATATATATTTTCAATATAATAAGAGTCTACTCCTTTTTAAAGGCCGGCAACGCATCCGCAATTCCCTTGGTGTTGCGGTTGTTCATGGGCGACGGTAATCACTCACCATCAGGTGAGCCATAATATGCTCGCGCCCCTCTCCTATAAAAAAATTGTAGTATGGTGAAACATTATTATTTTTTAGTATTAACATTACACAATTAAATTTTTTCCTCGGATCAAATATTAAGAGCATAGTCGTGTTCACATGATTTGTTGGATACTTTTGGTAGAGCACGCAAACATTACATGACTGAAGTACTCTCTCTCTCTCTGTTCCATCACTGGAACAAAAATACCTCGGCGGATCTCTACCCCCTTACTTGTCGACATACCAGACATTCGAACTTATCGGTGTGTTTCATTGCTCGTAATACTTAAAGCAAAGGAATGAAATGTTTTAACATCTGTCTTTCCATCTATCTGATTACTGTCTAAATAATAATATGAGTATCTTCAAGGCAAATGTGAATGAGATTTAGTTAAACTTAGTCAATGTGCTTCATCTGCGTCACCCCTGCGCATCAAGTGAGCAAGCACGAGTTTATAATAACTTAACAATAAGCACAAAAAGGCTCAAAGCTATCTACATCCATCATCCATTAATAATCAAAATGCAGAATGCGTTGTCGTCTCTAAGGAATAAGGTAGGAGTACCTTGTTACCAAAAAAAGGTCTTCAGTTCTTTACACATCACGCATCACGAATACTAATTAATTCTATGGAAGCGTGGTCCAGCAGACCCATTTGTGTTAAAACTTAAAATTATCGTATTATTTTAATGCTCATTACGTAATCTAATTTCTATGTGATTCTCATACAAGCAAATTTTATTAAAGTTGGTTTGATAACCATTTTACCGTGATATCAAACTCTATTATTACGATCAAAAACCTATTTCTTAAAAGATATGACGATAATAACATTAAAAATAAACGGCAAAGTGCCTCCCCTCCACATGGCGCCGACGTGCAGAGGGTGCGACTGTCGAATGTGCTTCTAAGCCTTCCTTTCCCATATCACGTTTTAACTCGTCTCTCAAATCTCCGCATATTTTACCATTGATCCCGGTTCTAACGCAGGTGCTATTTAGTTCCTTGGCTTACATAAAAACAATGTTTTTATTTACATCAGTACTACCATTACATTTACCCGTCCGTATTTTAGAATATTTTTCTTCCCAATTAAAATATTTTAAGCTATTTTTTTAAGTTTACTTCTACACTAGAATTTTCTCCTGCATCGTGGGGGGGAGGGCATTTTAAATAATTAAATTTCATATGAATCAACATCCAGACCCGGAACAATTATTTGTAGGCTATACAAATAAATATTTATTCCGTACGGGATTCGAACCCGCGGCCTTTAGCGTTACAAGTCATTGTTAAGCCACTGCGCCACGTAGCCGTCTTAATTATATATTTTCTAAAATTACACTACCATCGGATTAAAATTTATAAATCTCAACTGCAAAGATGGTAAGAAACTGTCGAGAAGCACAGGGGCTAAGGACTTATAAGAGTTTGATCTCAAACTGCACCAAAGGAATGGTATGGATCTGATTTTCCACACGTCCGGCTGTGAAGGAAAACATTTATTTATTATTTTTGGCATTATTATAACAAAGAATACAACGGCATGCCTTGGGGCATTCTCTTCCAGTCAACCCAAGAAGTGGTGAGTATTTGACGTAGGCTTATCAGTATAAAATAAGCAAAGTAAAACCTCGTGAGGAAACTTGCATGTCTTCAACTGTAACTACATGTAAACAATATCGAGGCAGTAGCGTGACGGACTATTCCCTACCATAAATCCATTTAGTATTAGAGCAGATCAGTACTAACAGTGAAAAGTTTTTACTCGTTGATCTCTCATTTCATATTAACTTACATCCATATATTATAAAGATCTATATGTTAAGTAAGTGCAATAATTTGCCGGCATCTGTCCGGTCTTCAAATCAAGAGTGAAGGCTCTTATTACGCAAAGACGATGTGATTTACCAGGGCTTCATCACCACTAACTGTCTAAGTTTATAATAACTAAAAAAGAGCAATATTTAAAAGTGTACTGAACCATAATGTAATATTTGATCAAGTTTGATTCATATTTTGAAGCCAGATGTTGTTACTCATTGAATAAACACTATTGAGATGTGACGATGTGTAAAAAATAGTATTTTCGACAGCCATCCTTCATTACAATGACAACACTCTCCTATGGTTCCGGATTTAAACCTCTATGAAAATTTCTACACATTTGAAGTTTTTAACGTCGTACAAATGAAAATGCGGTAAGCGAATACGTCAGATGCCAAAATCGCAGGAATGTACCCTAACCTCTGCGTGTTCGATTTGATTATACTGCGATTGCGATTTTGTAACTCTAGTGTGTGTCATGGTTGGCTTAATTTTGACGTTTGTCGATCAATACGGCATTAATCAAACAGCTTTTTATTTTTGTCAATAGGCTCTGACTGGAGTTCTAACCTTTACAACATAATTTACCTGGTAGAGCCACACTACAGTTATTTATGGTGGCAGCACAAATATGTCGGCTTACCAAAAAGGAACCACGCTCTCATAATACCAGCGTAAAGTAGCATTTTAGTGCTGCTGTGTTTCGTATGGTGAGTGTAGATAACTGGAGACCTTTTTTATTAGTAGCAATTCAATCTACCTTAGTCTTTTTTTTGAGTGACTATGCATTATGCATTTTTTCTGCAATTCTTAATCGAGGATAGATGAAGATGTCTATGGACTACGGCATCCACTTACAATTAGACCGCTTGTGTATTCGTTTGACATCTTCATTTAATAAAATATATTACTGTGAGTTATGTGTGATAATAAAAATGAGTTCTTGGGTGGCAAACGCACAAGCTTGGTAATTGCCCTTTTAATCTTCTCATGAAGACGCTCACGTAATTACGTGCAAATTATTCAAACCGTTCCCATTAAAATAATTTGAATAATGAATGAAACCGGAGGAAATTTATGACTTGTAGACAGTTATTGCAAGCAACGAGTACATATTATAAAATGTGCAAGCATGCGAGCCCTCAGTTGGTACATGCACACACGCTGGCTCACAAAGTAATTTATATTCTCGAAAGGGATCAGAGGTCTCGTAGGTCTATAGCCAGTAACTTATGATTAAATTTGTAGCAGATATAATTGAAATATATAAATTATATATTTGAAGAAATCAATTTAATGTTTAAATTTACTACACATTATAAATCGAAACATAAACGATTTTAATTTTATTTTAATTCATATGTTGCATATTATAAAAAAAAATGAAAACCTAAATATATTTAGGCTTGCCCGATCAATCAAGGGTTCGTAGTCCCAATTCTTAATTAATTATTATTTCATTCGGAAGAATTGTAATTGTATTAGGTTAGAATATAGTATATAAGGCATGGAACATGTTGTCGACACTACTTCCCACTGCGATAATTTCGCATAGATGTTATGTCGGTTATAGTCAATTTGGTAGTAGTGTCCCAATGATTTTGCGGACAAATTAAACTATTAATACAGAGGTTATAAACTTTTTGGCCGGCTACTGAATTTAATTGTATTGATTTATTTATTTATTTATACTTCAATGAACATAAGGAGATTAAATGAACAATGAGGCAGACTTAATGCCATAGGGCCTCTTCTGGTCAACCATTAGGCTAAATATAGTTGCGCACATTAGAGGCGTATACGTATTTATAATTATTATCTACGTCAGAATAAATATGATAATAAGAGCTGTATTTTCACATGCTTGTGGACTTTATTTTTAAAAACACACTTGTTGGGAGCTTTTTATTTGTTAACGAATCGGAAAATAAAATGAATTTGTTTATTAAAATAATACACCACTATAATGGGGGCTCTCGTGACCCACTCGAATATCTGTCGCGACCTGAAATTAAGAACCACTCCTACAATAATTCAAATACCGACGGTATAATTATTAAACTCTAGCCTTAGTCGCAATTTAAACCAAAATAATAACTTTCTATCGCTACCTATCAAACTTACTGGACATGTTCTCCCTCACGTGACACGTAGATTGTTAAAGAAAACTTCCAGCGGAGATCTTAGTGATTTTATTTGGCGGTTAAAGTACACAACGAAACGGATCTAAAGCGGGAAAACTTCCTCCGGGATTTGGTATCATTAAAAACTTTCTGTTCTAGTTTTCTATTTCTTTATCTCAAGAGATTTTTATTGTATTCTATTTCCCAGTCGTGTGTTAATATTAAGTATTATACTATATATAATCGTCTGCTTTTCGAAAAAACCCCAAATATTCGTTTTCGGTGTTGGTACTGTACTGTACTGTTGGTACTGTACTGTACTGTTGGTACTGTACTCTACTGTTGGTACTGTACTGTACTGTTTTTACTGTACTGTACTGTTGGTACTGTACTGTACTGTTGGTACTGTACTGTACTGTTGGTACTGTACTGTACTGTTGGTACTGTACTGTACTGTTGGTACTGTACTGTACTGTTGGTACTGTACTGTACTGTTGGTACTGTACTGTACTGTTGGTACTGTACTGTACTGTTGGTACTGTACTGTACTGTTGGTACTGTACTGTACTGTTGGTATTGTACTGTACTGTTGGTACTGTACTGTACTGTTGGTACTGTACTGTACTGTTGGTACTGTACTGTACTGTTGGTACTGTACTGTACTGTTGGTATTGTACTGTACTGTTGGTACTGTACTGTACTGTTGGTACTGTACTCGCCGTGGTAATTTTTTTTTTACATATTATGAGCCTGTGTTTGACCATAAACTCACCTGGTGCTAAGTGGTGATGAAACCCTAAATGGTAAATTGCACGGTTGTAACGTAACAAAAGCCTATTTACTCTTGCCTGAAGATGACCAGATTGTATTCGGACGGATATATAGGCACCGACAAAATATTCTACTCCTTTGCTGTACACATTATGAACGACGATGTAAGGCGTTTAGTTTGAATGGGTGGAATATGGACAACAAAATGGCGAAGACCCGCCGACCACCTGGTTGTCCGATGGTGGAAAGGGGAGGGAGGAATTAAATTAAGGTTTTTTTTTTCAAAGAATACTGCAACGCAACCAAGTTTCAATTATCCTGATTTGTTAGTACGATATCATGCTATCACGTACGCTTCTGCCTTTACACCCCCAATTAGCATACATAAATTCCTGTATTACTTAAAGTACTGGTGGCGTGGTTAATGGCAGTTATTGAATGTCGAGTTCAAACTCACAACTTTCTATCGCTTCTCACTATTAATATAATATTATTTTATGAATAAACATTTTATAAATACCCTTTCAAAAACCTTATTTATTCGAACCACCTATTCCAGCCTATAAAATCCACTGATAAACATAAGTTTCTATAGATAGCCTCACAGGGGATTCCCCTCGGTTTGGTTGCCATGCTTTGCAAGCGAGTTGGCAACCGCAGCTTCTTTACTATTTTGAGTTTTTTAGGAAGATATTGCTACCCATCTCCTACTTCAGTTTTCTGTGTTGACTCTTACGACACTCACGATATGGGGTAGTGGATATTCTAATACCGCCATCACACGCTTTGACAAAAATGAATTGTGAAATAAATGCTAATACGAAGCAACTGATCTTTAATTTAACATTATTGTTTTAAATTCTCTTGCACCCCATTACTGATTAGTAGCGGTTTAAGTATATCCACTACCCCATATAATCCCGTGGGTGTCGTAAGAGGCGACAGTAGTAAACAAATCAGGAGATGGGTGGCAGCTTCTTTCTAATAACGACTAAAAATAAAAATTAAAACAGTGGTTGCGAACCTGCTCACCTAGCGTAGTTACTGTGGCAAGTACTGCTCATATGAGGTACGGGGGAGGCCTGTGTTCAACAGTGGACTTTAATAGACTGTAACAGTAACGGTACTCTGTTACAGCTCATAGCTCTACGTTGCATGCAATCACATCTACAAATTACCTAATTGGCTGAACGATAATGAATTTATAGCGCAGAGAGCGATTTTCAGGGGTTACAAACTAGCAATTCCACTGATTAATATGCATGACTCTAAATAAGCGTTGTCAACTGGGAACTTGTATTTTAAGTACCTGTAAATATGCAAAGTATTCGAGAGTTACGGAAGAGTAGTACCAGATAAATATTTGTTTGAAGTTTGCAGTTCAGTTATGAATGAGGAAATAAAATAATACATCAACTTTCCAAGGAAATTTTTAATTGATTTATACAACAAAAAATATGTTAAATATGGAAATATCTGTTATCAGCAACTGAATTTTAATGGGTCCAATAGAATAATAATTGACTAGAGATTACGAACATTCCAAGAGTAGTAACTTTGGTTAATGGCCGTGAATAATGAAACATTTGTGTGAAGTTAGTGACACTTATATAGATCACTTTAAGCCTAAAACTAACTCTCTGTTTTACTTTTACCCAAGGTTAGCTGGTAGAGAATGTTTTAAAGCATCAAGCTCACTTTTGTTCAGGATTTTATTTAAAAGAGAATAAATAAATCAATAAATATAGTCTAAATGGATCAATAAAAGTACAGCATTAGCTACGGATCATATTAATAACGTCGTGATTCGAATACGTGCAAAGATTAACGAATTGATATAACTATTAAATTTGTTTGGTAAAACTTAGCTGAATTAGAATATAAGTTTAAGAATTAAATATACGACACCTAAGGCTACGTTGCAGGCTTGAAATTGCAATTCAGACTCGGAAGAGCCGTGACCATGGGTGCTGTCAGGTAACCGAAACTTCGGGAATTAAAAATAAGTTACATAAACGCCATAAAATCCGTATAAATAGTTTTATTCAATGTGTAGTGATCGCGTAAATATACATATTATATAATTTTAATTATATATATGAATATATATATATATATATATATATATATATATATATAGAGTTAAAATATAAGTACAAGGTACTTTTGTTCCACTTGTTGCGGGGTTTTCTTATAGCTAAGAGAAGCGCATTTTAGTCACTCAGGTGTAATAGAGAAGGAATTTGAGAGGTTTTAATTATTTGCATAGTTAGTGCTGCATTGGCTACTATAATTTTTTTATTTCATTTAGAGTTGTCATTAGGAAAATGCGAGTGCCCATATCTTGTTTGGTTTTCCACTGTTTCCTTGTAATACACCCGCCGGATAATACGGAGTAGAGATATCTCTTATGTCGCCACTAAAGCTTTCGTAATAAACTAGAAACTGCCTTTTGAAATGTTTTTGTGCGCTTATAACGTGATGTAACAAATAAATAACAATACCGGCCCACCATCACTATCCCAACACTCACCATCAGTTGTGACGTTAGTGAAGCACTGGCTTGGAACAGTTAAAAAAACTAAACACCGCAGTTCGTGTATAAATTAACAGATCAAGGAGATTTTGCGATCTTCCTTCGTACTTGAAATCTTGTGATCGAAAACGAGACTATAAATATTTACATTCCCTTACAAAATTCAAGAGCGTCTGCAGACGTGTTTGATTTCCGCTATCAATTCAACAACATAGTTGTCGTAGTGGGGATCGAAATTAAACGTGTATTTTGTTAGCTAAATTTATTCAGGCAGGAAAGCTATCATTATCGGTTACATTGTAAAAGATTTTGTAGTATTTTTATTGATATTTTATTTCTAATAGTGTTATTGTTTAATAAAGTGTCAAAAACATCACATTTTTGTAAAAGTATAATAATAGCAGGAGATAAGATTTCTATAAATAATAACATAATAAATTTCTTAACATTAATAACGTTCCCCACAGCGAATTTCAGTCACGGCGGCCAGTTTTAAAGGAGACTAGACATCATTGCTGCAGTTAAAGTGCCCAAGTGTATGCGTTAGCACAGCTGCACTCTCTATTCCCTCACTCTCATAATTTGATAGGACGGTAAACAGACACACAGGACAGGACATTACGTCGTTCCAATGAAAATTACAAATTACCACTTCCAACATTATATGATGTCATTGACCAAACATTGACCGTGTTTTTTTATAAAAATACCTACTCATTTTACAATTAATACAAAATATATACATTACATACTGTTTTCGGATTTAATTGTACTTTCACTGTTCCAAATGTGACTAGGCAGTAGGATTTTTTCTACCTAGGAGTCAGTCTGGGTCAGTCCCTCTGACTTATATCTGACGCGAAATAGCAATGCTTACACTGCTACTTCCCGTTATGAAGAATATTGATAGCCAGTATAATTACAGACTGAGCATGACATACCATCTCAGTCCTTAGAAGTGACTACGTATCTGTAACCTACTGTGCCATATGTACCAACAGGTGAACTGTAAGTTTGTTACTTTGGTTTCTAAGAAAAAACTTAGTAATATTTAATGACACAATGGATGTAGATAAAGTTTTGAATACAACAAGACAGAGAGTTTTGAATATAACAAATCATAAGTACACTATCAAATCGACTACAGCGTATCCAATCAACGTTGTAATGTAAGCTATGATCAAATGGTGCTAGAGTGCGCGTGTATTTGATAGGTGATTTCATTTACAGATAATAAAGTTTTATTCGAGTGCATTGAAGGTCTGCGCTGATGAGACTGTTTATTATTATGATCGACGCGGCTTTATATCGCCGTCGTAAATTTATGTTATGACTACACTGCAAGCGAAGCGATAAGAAGATGCAAGATGAAAACGAAAACCTATCAAGTATGTAGGTATAACCTTAACTTGTAATATTTTAAGTCCCTAAATTAGCACAATTGCTAGTGACCTCTTTGATCTAGTGTAGACAGCTGATCAAATTGCCCTGGGTTAGAATTCTGGGTCGAACCAAAATCGTTATTGGGTTTTACTGTCGAGAAATTCTCAGTAGGCGATTACGGCGTCAAAAATATAGCGAAGTTTTACCCCCGTGCCTAGGAAAGCAAGCAGTATCGGATAGCAATCCCATCAGAGTACTAGAGAGAAGGAGTAGTATTCGCCAGATCAAATTTCAATCCGAACAGAAGGACATTATAGAATATTATATCAGTAACTGAACCCTCAGTTATGGCGAGTCTTCTAGATCTCTCTCTTATTTTATATTAATACAATCCCTTATCAGATTCCGGTATGGTTAATAATAAATATTATACACTTTTTGATGGTTTTAAAAACAAAAATAAATCCTTATAATAAGCTTTTGAAGTCGGTTTTAACTCATTGTGTATCGAATAATTCAAACCGTGACTTCAGAAACTATTATAGGAAAATTATTATTTTTTGTTTTTTGAATTTCGTTGCAATTTTGTTAAAAGTTTGATTATTGAACAATTTTGTATGGACTAAAGAATACATTGTACAAGGTTAAGGTAAATTCTAAATCTACTTCTCCATAGTTAATATTCGAAAATTAAACCCTTATATTTCCACCCTTAGGTGTAATTTTTACTTTACATTCATATAGAGCCATGTCCTAAAATATAACCTATTTAATGAAAGTAAATTCATTATAATCAGTTGAACCGTTTTCGATAAATCATGGAACATCCATATTATAAAACATACGTATCGAATAGAACCTGGTTTATTGGAACTGAGTTAATAAATTAAAAGTGCTTTCTTACAAAAACAAGTATACTGCATAACATAAATCTTATGAATATAATTACTTTTAATAATCTCTTCTATCTGCTTTAGAATGCTTTCCACGAAAGCGCTGAACCAGCATGCATCATGCTCTTGGAAGGTTTGCTTGTTTTTAAATGCTGGACAGTCGGCTTCTTCTTCTTCATCATCAGCCAGTCCAAAAGTCTTCCGATGACGCTTCTTACATTGATGGAAGAATTTTCTGTAAACGTCACACAACCGTAAAAGTAGTATAGTAGTATAAGTAGTATAGTAGTATAAGTAGTATAGTAGTATAAGTAGTATAGTAGTATATATACACCGCCAGGTGTAAGACTATCCACTACCCTATATCATCCCCTGGGTTTTGTAAACGGCGATAAGGGAAACTGAAACAGGTGATGGCTTCCTGATATCAACTCAAAATAATAATAAAAAACCCGCTTATTATGAGACAATCTATGGGCGTGGCCTATGTTCAGCAGTGGACTGCAATAGTATGGTAATGGTAAACGAAATAGTAAACCACAATTTACTGGAAACTACGAGATTTTTCTGAATACAGGCAGCTGCGAATACAGGCAGTATAGGTTAGGTATAGGTAGTTGTTAGGATAGTAAAAACTTAAAAACGAGGCATTCCATCGTAGTTCTCAGGGGTGGCAACGCATCTGCATTTGGATTGTTAATCGCGAATAGATATAAAGGTATGGGCCATAGCATCCACTTACCAATTAGGTTAAAAGAGTAACGGTTACATATGATTCGTTTTCATTTAGCAAATCATCGCTTCGCTTTCCGACATTTTAGAAGCTTTACCTCGAGAGCGGCTTGTCGCTCACCAACTTTAATCGGGCACCTTTATTACTTGGTTTCATTCCTTATTTAAGTTATGAGCGTGTTAAATGTCATATAGTGAGGACAGGTTTTTACTGCTACGTTACTTGAGGAGGTTATTAAATGATCAGCATGTTCATTACATTATAAAAAAGCAGAAATTTGACCGATAAGCTCTTTTCATTCATTAACATTAAGTAAAACTTTATGTGTTAATCATATTGGAAATTCCCCCGGAAGCTGCTACATGGGCTTACGTGAAACACTACTCATTCGCTCCACGTCGCTCATTCATTACTCATTCGCTACGGGTCCACGACGCATTCGCAAGTTATCATCATCACAGTCATTACACCCTTTCACAAGTCCACTGCTAAACATAGGCCTCGCCCGAGGAATGCCACAAAGCACGTTCCGGAGCCTCCTGCAAGCATCGACTTCTTGCGTATTTTACTAGGTCGTCATACATCCATTGGGGGACCACCCTACGCTTGGTTTATCGGACATAGGCCTCTTCTAATTTCTGAGAGGGTTTTGAATCAAGAAAAAGCCCACATCTTTGCCCCAACGAGTGTTGGGTGTTAGCAGATAAACACAATTAATTTGCATGCGTTGCTCTATTAAATTTAGGTTTGGCTTAGAATCATCGAATTTACTAATATTTTCAGTCACTTACACTAAACCGCAAGGTGAGTTCTTAGAATGTTGATCATCTCCCGATGAGAAACTTGTAAAATACTTTAAATAAATGTTTTATACTAAAGTAGGCACTTAGAGGTTTCTTAAAGTATCAAGTGCACAAAGGCGTTGTATATTTGGATCATTGTCCTTTTAAATTGCCAACCTTAAACGTTCGAACCTGATCAAAAGTACTTTTGAGGGAATATTAAAGCTTTATCAGTTATTTCTTTATACGTAATTCATTACTTTTCATTTTTATACCAGCTTATTAAAATATAATAAAATATAAATGACTGTATTTAATGTTCCTCCAGATTTATTTGATTGCTGGTCAAAGTGATTACACGATTTGAATTCTTTTATTTTAATCTCTTGTCTGGCCATGTAAGAATAACCACTATCACTCATCGTTCCATGGGTGTCGTAAGAGGCGACAGGAGAAAACTAAACCGAAGATGGCCTACAGTATTCGCCTGAAAACAGCTTAAAATAATCAAAACTGTGTTGTGGAATCCTATACCGGTTTGTATATTGAATAACCAATCCGACCTTGAAATGCAACCTTGTAGTGGTGGTAGTACTGTCTGTCATCAAACTGCGATTTGTCATTGGCAATTTTAAACAGACTTCCTATCATTTGTCATTCGTCAGAACTACGTTCATTACCTAATCACAAGGTTGTACCGTTTCTTGCTGAAAACTTTTGGAAAAAATATTACATCTCCTTTACGTCTATCCCCCTATTCTCCCCTTTTCTTTTTATATACTGAACTTAATTATAACTGAATTATAGTAAATGTAAGTGAGTGAATTTAATTTTATCTTTATTTTCATCATTCGATTGCCTAGGAGTCAACGGGGAAGTAAATTCGTCAGGAGAGGATCATTTGTGTAACTTAATGCAGAGCTCGTAACTGAAAAGATAAATTATGAGTCTCGTTTATGAGACCCACAATCTCACGTTATGCAAGGTACCGTAGACCGTCTGGACCGATTTAAAGAAATTGCTTTTGTGTTTGTTCTTTTTTGTACTTGGATAGTTTAGATTCAAAATGGCACCCGGTAGGTGGTGCCGTTGTCGAAATCAAGAAACCACCCATGCGAAGCTGGTGCGGATTGCTAGTGTCAAGTAATTTCACTATAAATGGAAGTAGAGTGGCAGTCTTTGCCGTATAAATAGCAACAGTTACTCCTTTTTGAATCAAAATTCACTTTCGCTTTCGTCCAAAAAAAAAACAGCTATTCCTAAATTCCGAGCGAAGCGAGTCGGTCTCGCTTCGGCAGCGGGACGCCATCTCGTTACTTAAGGCATGTATGGACGTTTACGATCGTATCGCCTATCGCCCGAAGAGATAAAAAGCGCCACTCGGCGTAATTTATCGCCCAATAAACGCTCGCACCCGCCCCAGTCTGACCGATGTCTAAACAATACCCTTCGGAAACTTTAATTAGGAATAAAGTTAAACGCGGACTTGCAGTAAAATTTTTCCTCTTTAAACATTTACTTTGGAAATGAAATAAAATACGTGAGATAACAACTTAATACTGTTGTTTATCGTGTGGTGAGTGTAGGGAACCGGAGAACTTTTCTACCAAAAACGAGGCATTTCATCTTAATTCAAAAGGGTGACAAAGCATCTCGATTTTTAATTCTTAATCAAGCATAGAATAATAGTAACAAACGAGCACACAGTCCACCAGATGGTAAGTGGTTGCTGTGTCCTATAGACATCTAAATCTAACCTCGATTACGAATCAAAATGCAGATGCATTGTCACCCGCGAGGACTGAGATAGAATGGTAGATTCTATAAAAAATGTTCCATGTCTTTAACACCTCTATCAGACTTTTTACTTAAGAATCACGGGTAACTTAAGATATGCCAATACTCACCAGGCTGGCCAGACAGATTTGTGAACACAGAGCTGATCATGTATATAGCTTTAAATGTATGCAAATATTTGAAACATGAGGATATTTGCAATAGAACCGGAGTAACCGACATAGTCCAATGGATTAATAAGCGAAAATGGCAATGGGCCGGTCATATAGCTTGAACAACCGACAACTGATGATGAAGAAAGGTTCTCGAGTGGCAGTCCTGTACCGGTAGGCGAAGTGTAGGGTCCCCCCAATAGATGGAGTGACGACCTGGTAAGACATGCTGGTAGTTGATGGATTCAGGTAGCTTACGAGTCTGCCTTGTGGCATTCCTGGGGTTATGTTCAGCAGTGGACTTTTAAAGGTCTGTAATGATGAACCTCAGGCCCTACGGTGACTCCAACAAATTTAGAATACTAATGGGTATTACAGTTAAAATCAAATTATGTTCCTTCAACAAGAAGACTTGACTGTATTCCGCAAAACATCCGTCTATTTGGAATTATGGCGCACACCGCGCATTGCAGCGTAAGTCATATAAAACACACTTCAATTCGAGAGATTGCAGCGCAAGTCATATAAAACACACTTCAATTCGAGAGATTGCAGCGCAAGTCATATAAAACACACTTCAATTCGAGAGATTGCAGTGCAAGTCATATAAAACACACTTCAATTCGAGAGATTGCAGCGCAAGTCATATAAAACACACTTCAATTCGAGAGATTGCAGTGCAAGTCATATAAAACACACTTCAATTCGAGAGATTGCAGTGCAAGTCATATAAAACACACTTCAATTCGAGAGATTGCAGTGCAAGTCATATAAAACACACTTCAATTCGAGAGATTGCAGCGCAAGTCATATAAAACACACTTCAATTCGAGAGTAATTTATCGACCTTTTAAAACTTTGCTATGGCGTGTTTAGAAACGAATTCGCTAATAGAGCTCTCAAACAATGTGCAAACAAATAACACGAAGCGAGGAAACGATTTGCAGTTGCACCCACTACACTAATTTTAAATCGAAATTCTCTAACGACGGCTGTGGACTGTGTTCATAATGGATGGATTCTCCTTTAACTATGTACAGCTGTAGACTTAGAAAAGCTGTAGATTCTTAAAAATAATACAGATTGGGCAGTTACAACAGATTGGGCTCTGTTACGCAAGAAGTTTTAAAATACACAATTTTGTACCGTTACGGTTACCGTTTTTCAATTCCACTGGTGAAGAAAGAACTCCTCAGAGATTGCCTGAAAGGAAATATTGAAGGGAAATATTAGCTTTTTTATATAGAATGATGTGGCAAACGAGCACACAGTCCACCTGATCGTAAGTGGATGCTGTGTCCTATAGACATCTACATTTATTTTCGATTAAGAATGATAATACAAATGCGTTGTCACCCCTGAGGCCTATGATGGAACGCCTCGTTTCCAGTAAAAAGGATCTTCGGTTCTCTACATTCACCATACGAAACACGGTAGCCTTAAGCTGCTATTTTACCCTGGTATACTGTGAGAGCGTGGTCCTTCCCTGGTCAAGCTCCCGTTCGTGCACAACCATAATATCTGCCACTATTTACAACATTTTTTTTATTTACGAGGCAGCTATTTTAAAGCAGCTACAGAAAAGTAAAAATAACCAATATTTTTTTAAATATCTTACCAAATTTTTAGTGCATTTGGGAAAAATACAAAATTTATTTAAATAATGTATCTCTTCTAAATTATTATTTCTCACACGCTTTAACACACGTAAAATGCATCCGAAACTCGCAATAGTGACTTATACACAGATGCCCTGGATTAGTCACTAGTTATTTATAAATGAGTAGATGCGAACAAAGATCTGTTACAAATACGAAGAAGGTGAAACTATTTACACACATTTAAGCTTCCATAAGTTCAAAGACGTTGACGTGTTTGTACGAGGGGGTGAGTCCCTTCGGAAACCAATCGATGGTTCGGACCCTTGCGAAATGCGAGAACTATACCTTGGGGTAACGTTCCGTTTGCGGCAATGCTTTTATGTTGGGGCTCTTAATTAGCGCTGATTTGACGAGCCATCTAACTTAACATTTTCATAAATTAAAGTAAGCGTAATACTGAAAAGGGATTTTAGAAATGAAGGTATCAGTTTGTTGAGGAAAAATAAAGAAAATAAAAACATTGAGACGGTCATTGATAAACACCGTTTGTGACAGAACAACGCTGCAGCTGTATTGTGGCTGCAGCGAGAATGGGTCGGCTCGACTGGGAAAGGACCTCATTCCCACAGAACATCAACGTCAGACAGCAAAATAATACTGAGTTTATAAATAACAATTCACATTCCATCTTCGTCTTCAAGGGTGACAATGTATTTGCATTTTGATCCTTAATTGAGGATAAAGGTAGATGTCTGTGTGTGTGACCAAGTGGTGTGCGCGCCGCATGACACTGTAATTTAAAAAACAAATTCTGTCTGTTTGGG